GCTTAAAATAACAGAAACTTATTATCTCACAGTTCTGAAGGCCAGAAGTACGAAATCGAGGTGTTGGCAGGGGTGGGTGATTCCTTGCTTCTTCTAGTTTCTGGTTGCTCCAGGTGTGCCTTAGCTAAAGGCTGCATAACCTCGACCTCAGCCTGTGTCCTCGCATGGCCTTCTCATTTTGTCCCTGTGTCTCTTTTGAGTGTCTCATATAAGGACACTTGTCATTGGATTTAAGGACCACCCAGATAACCCAGATAATTCATCTTGAGATCCTTAGCTTAATTACATCTGCAAAGACCCTTTAGCTGAATAAGATCACATTCACAGGTTCCAGGCATTGGAATATGGACGTATCTCTTATGGGGCCACCATTCAACCTATGAAAAAATGGGCAGAAGACTGGGGAAGGAGGCAGAATATCACTTGTTATTCATTTCAGTGGCATGTCATTTTTGGACAAGCACAAATCTCAAACCTGGGATTTCAATGCCTTGGGAAGTGGAAGATGAAAAATTCAGGAAAATGTGGAATCACAGAGACAATTTCATAAATGAGCCACTAATTCTTATCTTTTTAGATTTACTTTTTTTTTTGAGGTTTTTTTTTTAACATCTTTATTGGAGTATAATTGCTTTACAGTGTTGTGTTAGTTTCTGCTGTATAACAAAGTGAATCAGCTATACGTATACGTATGTCCCTGTATCTCCTCCCTCTTGCGTCTCCCTCCCACCCTCCCTATCCCACCCCTCTAGGTGGTCACAAAGCACTGAGCTGATCTCCCTGTGCTTTGCGGCTGCTTCCCACTAGCTATCTATTTTACATTAACCTCTTCTAATCTTATACCAGCTAAAAACTTGATTGGTTTATTGTTTATGTCAGAATTATGTTTTAAAGAGAAAGCATAGTTGACTTGTATTTCAACATCTGACTTAATTTTCTAGATAACTGAGAGTTAAGTCTTTAAAGTTTCAGTAGAAATCTTTCTAGTGGGCATTAGATATTTTTCACACACTAAAAAGGATACATTTAACATCATTTGACAACTTCCTTTCATTTACTCAATCCTCTCTTCCCTTTTAAAATTTATGTCATTCATTTATTCCGTATTTACTGGGTTAACAAGGAACTTGTACAAAGTTTTTAAACAATAGCAACAGTCTCACAACTTTCAACATTTCACAGACCAGGTTCCATTAATACTTTCTTTACAACATTTTTTTTCTTCATCAACAAATTTCATAGTAAATTATGCTAGATTCCACTGTCTCGTTTACCACACCATTCAGTTTTAACTGCACTCTGGTTTGAACACTGTTTAGAACCCTTAAGAAGAAATACAGTATATTCTTAGATGCTGAGAGCAAGTAAGCAGGAGAGATATGGGTCAATAAAGGTAAGTGATATTATTAGTTTTCATAGTATTGTGACTGTTCAATAATGACTTTTCCAGTGGTTATGAGACTCCTTGTCACTCCTTTCCTCTCATCTTGATGAAATCTCTTCACTGAGTGATCTCTTTCATTCATAAGGTGGTATTTATAAATTATTGACTTCTAAATCCCATGGCTTATTCTCAACCTTCATCTTATGCTTCCATGCATTAATTGGAACCAATTATACATTTAGACTTTCTTGTTCTTTGGCTTCCATGACATTTTGCTCCCTCTGTGATCTGTTTGCTAGCCCTTCTTTTGCCTTTTGGCTCCTGAATATAGACTGTCTTGGTATTCATACTCTTGAACTTCTTTTCTCACTCAAAATTCCACTTTTATCTCTAATCTCCATACTTATGACTCTCAGATTGAAATCTCAAATTCTAGATTTCCCCCTAGAATCAAAACCCGCATTCCAAAATGCCTGCCTGTAATCTCCACCCAGCCTCATTATTTTCCCTTCAAAATTATTTTTTTCCACAACCAGCGTTTCTTAGTGGCAATAGTGTTTTTCCTGTCACCCAGATTGAAACTGAAAAGTGTTTTTTAAGATCACATTTCTTGGTAAATCCTAGCTAAAAGTAGAGCAGTCCTCTCTAGTCTATGAAAGTCCTCTACTTTGAATATCCACCTACTTAAAATCTCCCATATTTATCAGTGAGGGAAAAAGGGAACTATATTTCCAAGCCAGATGAGAAAAAAATTAATCCTGGAGACCATAGTCTCCATGAGAAAGGACAGCACTATATGATTACAATATATGAGTTGTTTTTTTTTTTAATTTCTGTTTAGCTGTTGCTCTCAACATTCAGTGACTTACCAAGCCATATACATTTGTCTTCTTCAAGATCAAAAGGACTGGGAACACAGATTGAGCTCTAAAGATGTTTATCACAGAGTTATAATATTAGAAATTTTAAATTCCCAACACTAGAGCATTGATTGACTACATCATGTTTTACATATAAAACCTGTGATGCATAATCTGCACTAATTTAAATTTAGCTGTAACAGTCTATTCATTAATAGAGAAAGATATTATATGCATCACTGAGTTTAAAAAAAATGTTGGAAAGAACAGGCATAGGACATCCAAGGAAAAATACTAAGGACTATTGCTTCAAACTGTTACCAGTGGATTTCTGCATATAAATGTAAAGAATGTATGTTCATTGTGTGCCAGGCAATGCTTAGAAAAGAAATGAAAGAACTAAAATAGATTTAGAATAGTCTAAATAGCTTAAAGAACACCTATTTTCGAAGAATCATAGAATTCAGGAAGTACATTAAATATCAAGTCCAAACTCACTTTCTATGCCTTGTGGCAATTGAAGTTGAGTGATTTGCTCTATGTCATACAGTTGGTTATGACAAATGTGGAATTTGAGGCCTCTAACACCATTCTATTAATTCCCACCATTTTCTGATCACTGTTAACATGACAAATGCATCCACTTTTGACATTTTAAGCGTGTGTGAAAATGAATGCACCTTCAAAGCTGGAGAATATTCAGCTTTATGGAATCCAAAGAGCATTTTAAAGCAGGAATTTTTAGACATAATTTGTATTTGAATTTCTTTTGTCCCCTTTTCAATGGGGGACTATTAGTCAGGGTTCTCCAGAGAAACAGAACCAACAGGATATATCTCTTTCTCTATCACTATCTCTATCTATCTGTATATATCTATTTCAGAAAGAGAAAGATTTATTATAAGGAACTGGCTTACATAATTATGGAGGATGAGAAGTTCCACAGTCTGCAAGCTGAAGGCCCAGGAAAGCTAGTGGCATAGCTTCAGTCCAATCCCAAAGACCTTGAGAATCAGGGGAGACAATGGTGTAAATCCCAGTCCTAGTACAAAGGCCTGAGAACGAGGATAGATGATGCTGTAAGTTCCGGTCCAAGTGCAGGAAAAAGCCAGTCCCAGTTCAAGTGCTCAGGCAGAGAGCAAGTTCTTTCTCTCTCTGTCTTTTTGTTGTACTCAGGCCCTCAAAGGATTGGATGAGGCCCATTCACTTTGGGGAGGCCAACCTGCTTTACTCAGTTTACCAGTCCAAATGCTAATCTCATCTGGAAACATCCTCACAGACGTGCCCAGAAATAATGTATAGCCAAGTATCTGGCACCCACGATCCAGTCAAGTTGACTAGTAAAATCAACCATCACAGTGACCTTGGCAAAACTGCTTAACTTTTCTGAGCCTCAGGTACTTTGCCTGCAAAATGAGGGAATTACTAACTATTCCACAGGGCTATTTTAAGGTGTAAATAAGATAAACAAGTTAAGAGACCTATCCTTGCACATAATGACTGTTCAGTCAATGCCAGTTCCTTTCCCTCCCTTTCCCTGTATTGCTTATGAAAAGATCAGTTTAGTTATACTACAAGCCTGTTGTTATGGGTTGAATTGAGTCTCCCCAGGCAAAAATAATTACATGTTGAAGTTCTAACCCCCAGTACCTCATAATGTAACTCTGTTTAGACACAGGGTTATTAAACAGGTAATCGAGTTAAAATGAGATCATTAAGGTGAGTCCTAATCCATTGTAAATGGTATGTCTGTAAAAAGGGAAACATTTGGACACAGAGACACACACACAGGGAGAACTCTACTTGAAGATTGGAGTTATGCTTTCACAAGCCAAGGCACTCAGAGGCTATGAGATGGGCCTGGAACAAATCCTTTCCTGGTGTCTTCAGAAGAGGCATGGCCTTGCCAATACCTTGATCTCAGATTTCTAGTCTCCAGAATAGTGAGACAACAAATTTTTGTTGTTTAAGCCACTTAGTTTGTGATACTTTGTTACAGTAGCCATAAGAAACAAATCTACCTGTATTTCTTAGATTGACCATAATTTGAAATGACATCTCTTAGGGATAATTCCTTATTAGTTCTTATCAGAATATGTAAGGTTCTTTTCCAATTTCAAAGAAACTAGGTCCAAAACCCCTTCTGGCCCAACTCTTAGTTAACATGCCTCTTCAAGAACGGAGAAGGTAAGAAATCTCCCTGCTATATGACCTGGTTCTAGTTTTTCAGAATCTTACTAAGTCTAGGCTACTCATACAGGTCATGGGGTTGATGGAACAGATAGATAAGCTGACAGTTAGATGGATAGATAGATAGATAGATAGATAGGTAGATAGATAGATAGACAGATAACAGATAAATGTAGAAAGAGAGAGAAGGAGATCTCTATTTCTATCTCTGTATATATGGCTATATTTGTAGTTACATCATCTGTATCTATATCTGGTCTGCTTTTTAACAAATGTGATACCACAAGGTTTTTTCTCACCATTTTAGTAAAATTGTCATGCCGTACTCTCATGCATTTGTCCTTAACGATGACTTGCCAACCATTAACATATCATTAAGCAACTGATGTCCTTTCGCCTTTTGGCCACATCTTTTAAATAAAGCTTTGCCCACATTTCAGAATATTTTTTTCAGACAGTGTACCAGAAGGCCAATTACTAGGGCAAAGGCCATAAACATTTTTAATATTCTTGATACTTTTTGTGAAATTGCTTTGCAGTGAAGTGGTGTTCCTTCCTTTGGGGTTCAATCCCAAGACAATTCTTTGTAGCAAGAGAAGAAAGAAATAAGGTCATGGAGATCAGTTGGGAGTATTAGTGTTCAACTGCTACCAGCAGCAAGTAATGAATATTTCCTTGTGAAAAAGCTCAATGCCATGCATAACGATTACATAATATGTAGGTAATTCAAGAAATCTCTGGCTCCATCTTTCTGGAACCCCAACATTTAAGTGCAATTTGGGTATTAAATTATCCATTCATGCACTGAGTTGAAGGTATCTCTGTCCCCTCTATTCTCTGAGATGTTTCTGCTGACCCGCACACTTGAGTGTTTAGTTCAGAGATAACTTTCAATAAACTGTTGTCACTTGAAAATAAACAGTCTGGACAATGTATGGTTCATTTGGAACATTGAGAAAATAAACAACCTAGGATATGCTTCCTTCCTGTTTTTACAGCCCTTTTTGGAATGTGTGTTCCAGATATTTCCCCTTCTTCCCCAAAGAAGAAGGTTTTATTTAAAATAAAGCTGTTGATTTGGCACTTCTGGGCGGCCCTTTTTTGAAGAGCCACAGCAATGGGTGGCTTCGGAGCCCATCTTCGAAGGAATCAGTTCATCCTTCTGTTGCTCTTTCTTTTGCAAATTCAGAGTCTGGGTCTGGACATTGATAGTCGTCCTACGACTGAAGTCTGTGCCACACACATAGTTTCACCAGGACCCAAAGGTGAGGAAAGAAAAATGAAACGCTTATATCTAGTAAGTAAGCTCTCTTACTTCATCTCTCAACCCCACTCTAGCCCCCAATGACTTTCTCTGCTCCCTTCCTTAGAGTTCTCTCACTTTCCTTCTATTTTAGAAAAATCAATGTCTTGTTACTTATTTTAAGATCTCCCTTGGTGTTAGGTAAGAGAACGTGGGGAGACGCTGGAAGGCTGGGGCAGGGCTGTGTTGGAATTCACCCAGGGCAGGGGGAAGTTCCATCTTCCGTGCTGCTCCAGGGGAGATACACAAGCAAGACATCAACCTTCCGGAATCCTTTCCTTAAAAGCATCTCTGTTCATGGGCTGTTTTTACTCCAACTGCTTCCTCAGACTGATTTTGGTAAAGCTACTAGACCAAAGCTCAGTAAAGTAAAAATGAATTCTTTCATGTATTTCATAAATTAAGGGGCTTCTGAAGAGGAAAATATTCATCAAGGATTGGAGGTAGCATAGAAATGAACATTTCTTTATTTGAAAGTGGAGTTTTAGGGCCAAGTGCCTTCAGCTGAAGGATGATAGAATATTGCAAACATTGTTTTTCAAGTAGAGCCAAGGTCCAAATGCGCTTCCAGCAACTGGTTGGTAAAAAAATGCTGTTGTTTTCCTGGTTTCAGCTCTGACCCTTTGGTTCTGAAAGTGGTCACTGCAGCACAAATTGGTGCTCCCTCGTTAGTAATTCATGCTGTGTTTCTCCAGGCTAGATGGTGGAAGAATTGCATCTGCTTAAAATTTTAAGTAGAAAAAAAGGGTCTTTAAAAAAAAAAAGAAAAACATTGCCCCGTGCTTGTCAGTTATTTAAATGTGTATTGCTTAAAGTGCATTTTTCTTAATCAGTGAATTAATTTCCTCCTAAGATTGCAATCCAAGTTTTAACCTTTGATACCATAAAATAAATGCAGGGAAGAACAATGAAGCCTTGGGGCTTCCAAATAATTTCTTGGGTGAATAAATGAATAATGCGAGGGTAAATGTTCAGAAAACAAAGTTTCAATTAGAAATAAAGTACTTACTTAAAACCATTACTGGACTTTTCATAGAATAGAGGAAACTTTGTATTATTCCTGGGGTTTCATGGGAAATGCTAAAAATTAAAATTGAAACTTTGTCCCTTCAAATGGGAGAATCCATTTTAGAATAGAACTGTTAAGCAGTTTTCCTTGCAGAGAAACTGCAACTTTCAAACTGGAAGAAGAATGGACAAAGAATTGTTAAAATAATGTCCAAAATATCGTCCATTTCAACAATTCTATTCATTCCAACTCAGCCAGCATATATTGAAAACCTATTAAGTGCTAAGCACTATTTTAGGCACAAGCGATGCATTAAATGATATATATTAGTGTCATGAGCAATGGGGACGTAAATAATTTAGGAGGGAGAGCAGAGGGCAATTAATATTTGCTGGATACCAGTGTGGGGTCCACCATGAGTCTTCCAACCCTCATTTTTTAACGTAACACAAAACTTCTCCCTTCCCATTAGAAACTCTAAGGTTTCAAACAATGGAAACCTCTTTAACTCTCTTCCTGAGCCTGTGTAGAAATTATGAGATGATTACAGGCAGAAATGTGACAGAATGAAGAAGCAAGTGCTCCTGGGGAAGAAAGACTTGGGAAGAAGCCCCCTAGAACTCTGGGTTTCAGAGCTAAGTTATGGACTTGGTATGATTTCTTCTTCCCCTAGAACCTGGGGACTTGGCATCAAATGGGTTCTCAGTGGCTTTTTTATTAAAAAGCTTCCAAGATTCTGGAACGTACTGAATACCAGCTAAGTCCCAGGCATCATGTGGGATTCTAAAGGTTTCAAGCTAAGGAAGAACTTGTCTTAGAACTTGTACCTACATTGAAAGCTGGTGTTAGAGTGCAAACTCTTGGGGTCAGTTAACTCGTTTTTAATTTGCAAATTGCCTGTATGTATACCACATGCATAACATCAAAAGCCTATTCCTCACTGCCCTTCCTCTGCTCTATGTCCTGTGCTAGACATTGTGGATACACCAAAACACAAGGCATGTTTTTTTTGTCTTCTCTCAAGATATAAACTGCCATCTGCTCTACTTCATCCTGTCATGAACACGGTGACAGTCCTCCCCACCCGTGAATAAGGCGGATTTGTATATTTATCTCTACAAAATGACAAAAAAAAAAAAAAAAAAAGCTTGATGGCTAAGCAAACATTTTAACGAACTGGATTATTGCTTTTGTTTAATATATTTTTCTAAGAGCAAGCTGGTCTATATTTTTCTCCCTGGCTAATCATCTCAATACCATAGTCATCAGCACTGTGCGCAGAAATTTCCAGATACTCTGAGAAACAAACAATAAAAGGAGTTTTCCCTAAATCCATTTGGGAGACTTGGAATTTAATAAAAATATATAGAGTTGCAAATGGAGAACCATTAATGCTACTCTGTCATATAATATATTGTCTAAGACAGACACACCATTTTTTATTGCACTACTTCCCAAGCTTGACTTAGTGGGGACAAAAAGACATTGGATTGAATCTGCTTGATCTTCAGGATGGTATTACATCTGTTTATGCTTCAGTTTCCTTGCAAAATGAGCTTCATCACAGACCTCTTTTAAGAATAACATCGGATAATCAAAGTGAACTTTAAGCTGCGTAGACATTACGAATAGATACTTAACAGATTCTATTTATCTTTCCTCTTCTTCCTATTGGTCTAAGTCTGTTGAGTAGTCATTTTGAGAATGAGTATTGCTCTAGTTATAAAAAATCCTTCGTTGAAAGCCATTTTTATTTTTCTTTCTCTGCCTTAAACTTATTATTTTATGCTGCTTAGTAGGAAAATGTTCCCTTCTTTTTTCCCCCCACGTTGGTGGTTTCCTTAAACAATTTGTGTGAAATTCTGACCTCTAGTGGTCTTACTTGAAAACTGCAATGACAAGAAATTTTAACAAGAACTGTTAAAAAGAAATGTAAAACCAATAAGAAATATTTGGGTGATGCTTCACAATTTCCAAGGAACTTTCGAATACATTATCTTGTTTAAGTTTCACAATTTTTCAACGTGGTAGCAATTACTTTAACCTTAAAAATAAGGAAACAGTCTCTATGAGGCCAAGTGGAGGTCCCAAGGTCTTCCGTATAGATGTTGCACAGGCATGCAATTTGAACTTGACCCCTGGCCTTCTGCCTCTGTGTCCACCATCATTCCATGACATCTACTAGAGTCTATTAGAATCATGTTTGAAAATACAGCCCACTGACCCCTTTTGGATAAATGGGTAGGACTCTGCCTCAGAACATGGAATTTATGCAAGCTCACAGCCCAACATTGTACTGGACCCTAAAACATGCTGAAAGTGATGACGTGCCTCCTCTTTGATAATGAACTCCATCACTTCATTCGTTTGTTTGGAAATTAATGATATTTCACCCTATTGCTTATTTTGGGTTTTGGTTTAGGAGGTTTTTCTTTCAATGAAATTTGGGTGTATGCGGTCTTAAAGCTCCTTTGCGATCCATCTGGATTCTCCCAACTTCTCCCACCTCAAACTACTTGTCCACTTGTAGTTTGCTTCAGGCATCCTTGTTTTGTCTCCCATTCCCCCGTTCCCGACCCAGGATTTTTGCATTTGATGTTCCCTCTGTCTGACCCAAACTTGCCCCAGATCTTCCCAAGGAGAGTTCCTTCTTCTCATTCTGGTTTTAGCTCAAATGCCATTTGCACAGTGGGGCCCTGCCTGACAACCCCCTTCACTCTCTGTCATAGTTCCCAAGACATTTTGTTGTTATTTTCACAGACTTACTACTAAATGAAAATCCCTTGTGTTTTTATATATCTACAGTCAGTCCTAGAATACAAGCTTCATGAAAGCAGGGACCCTGTTCATCTTGCTGAGTGTGTTTTCCTGCTGTCTAGAAGAGTTCCTGACACATAGCGATTGCTCAATAAATACCTTTGATGAAATAAACAAACCCAAATTTTCCAAGATCCCCTGACCTTTCCTTGAAAATACTTTCCAAGGATGTCTTGCAGTTCCCCAAAATGTGTTGCAATGCTTCCAAGAAAACAACTGGTCTTGGGAGACACTGTCATTGTACCACTTCAGTGGTCAAAGAACTTTCCCACCAGTGGCCACTGGTTTTCTGTAAGCACAGCCATACCACCACTTCCCTGGTACCCCTGTCTCAACCTGGCCTGGCCACTAACTCAGTGCCACTTCACTCAGTAAGGAAGGCTTTCCTTTGCTTCTGAGGGCACTGCAACTCCTACGAGTAACCATCTTGACTCCACGCAACTGGCCTGTGATGAACTCATGGGGCCAAGAAAGGCTCTCTCCCCTTCAGCATGACTCTAATGACAACCTCAATCATGGTGGTGGCAGCAGTAATACTAACACATTGAATAGATGCCATTGACCCGGTACTGCGTGAGTGCTATCCAGCCATTTTTAAGTTGAACTATCTCAATAGACTTTGAGAAAGAAGACATTTTAATTCTCATCTGACAGATGAGGAAACCGAGGTTCAGAACTATTAAGTCACTAGCCTAAGGCCACACATCTGGAAGGTGGCGGGTTGGAACCTGATTCAATTCTAGTTGGACTTCATGCTCCATTCAGAATGTAAACCGTCTCATCAGCTGGAGGGGCCCCTAAGCAGTGTTGACTGCATCACAGGATTTTACAGGGCAGGATGAAACAGCTACTTTAGTTTTTGCTTAAAGCTCCTATTGGTCCCTATGGCCCACATCTGAGTGCCAGACACTACGAGGTACATGTGGCTTTGCCAGGACGTAAACCTCTGTCTTATGGGATAGTTTCTTTCCCAGAAAACCCCTTACCTCTAGGAAATGGACTTCAATCTGGCCAGTATTTTTGCTGAACATGGCTCTGGATCCCAACAATTGACACACTTGAGTTATTTCCCAGAAGTGTTCTCAAGCCTCCAAACAGATGGCAAGTATGCCCAGCAATATCTGGGTCATTTTCAC